GCTCGCGGGGCCCCGGAGGGCGGCGAAGAGCAGCGCCCCGAGCCGCCGCCCGGACGAGGAGTTGGGCTGGGCGCGCGACCCCCGGGGACCCTCAGGCCGCCTCTGTGAGCGGCGTTGCGGCCGCCCTCGAGTCCGACTGCAGTTTGCTGTGACCTGCCCGGCGTCAGAGGTTGGGGGGTCAGCGGCGACGGGGCCGCGGTTACTAGGAGGAAGTCGACTGGAAACTCATCTCAGGGGTGGACGGAGCCCCTGGGAAGGAAAGCTGAGAAATGCCCTTGTAAAACTGCCCTGCAGTCTTAGGATCTTGAAAAGACAGTTGAGTGGGATTGAGTTTGTAACCTTTTGTGGGCTAAGACCAGGACGACTTTTTAGCAACTGATTAAAAAGAAGGCTTACCAGGTCGAGCAGTGCCCAGGGAGCTGTGGGACCCCTGGTAGAGAACCAGTGGCGTTGTTCGGGCCCCCTCTCAGACGGAGAAGGAACGTGGTACGGGAAGTTGAGGGCTTTGGAGAGTTTTTGTTTCTCCCAAGATGTGGCACTTGTAGGTGAGAGGGCAAGTCCAGGCAGCCCCGGGGTTAGGATCTTAGCTTGCCAAAGACCTAATGTAGGTTTTTTCCCATTGGAACAAACTCCTAGGCGGAAGCATAGGAAGATCTTTTAAGACAGAGTTACACTGTTCATCCCCTAAGGTTTCTCCCTTAAATGTGACCTGGGATTTCTGAGCCTCTTAATTCCACTCAATTTTCCCTCCTCCTTGTATGCACTTTCTCCTCAACTTAGAGAACCCTAGCAAATCCTTGTTCCATTTCTGTCCTAAATGCTAACAAACTTTCAGGCTTCTGATCATTTATGCATAGATTGGGACCTCCATCCACAGCAGGGTTTGTCCCAGACTGGGTTGACTGTATGTGCAGCCCTTGAAGAGGTCAGTGTCTCGCCGTGTCACTCAGTGCGTGAGGTCTGAGTTAGTCCTTGCAAGTTCTTTTTTTAAAACTTTCCTGTTTGTGAATCATCAAGGGATAGCGGACAGTCAGGTAGCAAGCACATAGCAAAATGACAAACTGGTGTGAATGCTCCTAAGAATATAATGGTGTCTTTAACTCAGATAAGTTCCTAGCAAGTAAGGATTACTGTAATTGTTGGGAGGTGATCAGGTAACATTCTGAAAAACAGATTGCCCTGAAGCACTGTAAACCTCTGTGCTGCCCTCACTTAACTTTTTGACCGTCTCCTTTTAGACTCTTGATCTATGTGGTTGTCCTAACAAACACAATTGTTTCAAGTTTAGGCTGTGCTGTGTGAAACAATTATGTTCCAAGTTTAGGGTGGAATTAACTGTTCTCTTACATTTTTGGATAGCCTTAATGGACAATGTAAGGCTGTCCTAAAATGCCTCCTTGGCTTGTTTGAGAACAGTGCAGATTCTAGGCTGAAACAAGGTGAGCTTGACTCTGTGCCTCACACTCCGTCCTCCTGGAGGAGTTCTATAGTCCAACAGTGGTCCTCAAACTAATGGAACCTTTCATAGTGTAGGGGTTGTGTTTCTATTGATCTGGGGCAGGGTATAGCAATTAATTTTTAAGTTAGGTGAGTCTAATTCCCAACTAGAATTGTGAATTGCCTGCTTAAAGCAAAGGATAGAGAAGCACAGCTAGTTTTTAGTATCGTGGTGCCACTTAATCTGAATTATTTAGAGTTGCTACGTTATGTTTGTGGTGGGGTATGAACATGGGAATATATTACATGGCAAATGTCTTTCTGAATTATGTCATTACCTTGAGCATCTCCATTGACTGAAAAAATTGAAATTATTATTCAATAAGAGATTGAGGTTTAAAGGAGCAGAGTCATTCCTCACCTGCATTAACAAATAGTCAAGTTCAAGTAGACCCTCTGACATCTGTCGTGTCTCAGTGAGAAAACATGAACCTTAAGTATTTAAAGGCAAAAAAAGAAAAAAAAAATATGTGTTTTAAAGAAAAAGAGCCAACGGTATAAAATTACATTCTAAAAGAGTTAAAAATATCATGTTAAATTATAATATTCCTGAAGAAAAATTAATGAGTTTAGGTTGGAGAAAATCCCTAAATTAAAAACCAGGGAGATGTTTTTTGTCCTTAATCTTCTCATTCATTCCGTCTGAGGGTGGAGGTTCCATGTGGGTTGAATTTCTTTTAAGAAAACTGTTTTATTTGGATCTGAATTCTGAAATTTTAGAAGCCAAACTTTTAAGGCCAACCACAGACAGACCATGTATTTTGTGGTGCTTAACTTGGAAGTCTTCTAAAGCTTCCTTCTCATGACCTGAATGGGTGTGTACAGTTCACGTCGGCAGTGTCTGAGCACATGGTTCCAGAACAGAACATGGAGGGTTCTGGCACCTGTAATGGAATGATGGCTGCCAGCTCCAAACAGCCTGGCCCGCTGTGTGCCTAGAACAGGAAGGCATGGGGGTCTCTGATGAGAAGGGTATCTTTGACTACAGAGGTTGCCAGGCTGAAGAGTGTCCCCCAAAAAACTATCTTCATCATACTTTGGTGGTTTGTAGTCATCTCTGGGCAAAGGAATCTGATAGAAATGAGGATTTTGAAATGTACTGCTTGGTGTTTACATTTATCAAAGAATGGCTTTTATTTTTTTCAAAGAATGGCATTTTAAAAAACATTATGCAATACTGTGTCATAGCTGAGTAATGCATTGTACCTTCCTAGATTGGAGTGGTAATCCTAGTTTTCCGTGAAAAAGCGTTCACCTCTGATACATTCTTAACTGACAAGAAGCAGTTGTGTTTCTTTTTCATTCTCTCCGTGTTTTTGTGTTGGTTTGAAAATGGAGGACGTGTGCAGACTATCTTTAGGGTGTGTTCCGCTGACCTCGCTACAGTTTGCTCTCCCCTGCTCAATGAGAGGATAGAGATTAAAGACAGGCTCTGTTCTTACAGTAGGAAACTAAAGCATGGGAAGTTGCTAAACAAACCTTAATACCCACACAGGTTGTCATTAATCGGTTGAATACTTGATGCCTTTGGAGAAAGCTAAGTTTCATAGGTAAGATCAAACCAAGAAGTAAGATCAAACCAAGAAGTAAGGATTAGATGAAGCAATTCTGTGCAAGACACATGGGGGTCAGTGTAAAACAACTACTGCCCTCAACTGGGAAGAAGAATTGTGTACAGTAAGAAGTAAAGAAGTGATTAATAGTTCACGATTGTACAACAGACAGTCTTCGGTCTTCCCAGATTATGTCATTGCCAGTAATGTTAGACTCCTGAATCTTCTGAAGTTCTCTCATTCTTTATTCAATGTGTGTTTATTCAAGGTCTTCCATGTTCCAGGCTTGAACAGGATAGCTGAGGTCCCAGCCCTGGAGGAGCTCACAAGATAACACAGTTATAAACTGTTTTCCAGAAAAGTCAAGCTCACTAGTGAGATGGTATAAGATATTATCATTGGGAAGTATTTTTCACTTCCCTTTTGAAAAGTGTTTTTTAAAGATTTCTCTCACCATCTTTGCAAGCTTTTTTACTTCCTGACTTATAAGCAAGAGATGATTCTTCAGTAAGCCAAAGGAAATCTATCTTATAGGGCGAAACAGCATTTTAAAAATGCAAGTTTAAATTATTTCCTTCATCTGTGGGTTCTTCATAATTGATGGGGAAAATGGTACAGATATAGAAAGAAAGTAGATGGACTTAGAAGGTAGAATTGGTAATCTACTAGCCATTGACATTGTTCCATTTTTCTCAGTTTCTAAATAAAAATGATAATACATACATACACTTGGAAGCAAGGACTAACCAGAATTTAATCTTTTTCAGAAGCCAAGAAGAAAGCACCCTGTCCTGGACTTGGCTTGTTTTACACATTATTGTCTGCCTTCCTTTTCTCAATGGCCTCTTTATTTGTTAAAAAAGTGCAAGACGTCCATGCTGTAGAAATTAGTGCATTTCGATGTGTGTTCCAAATGCTAGTTATTATCCCTTGCTTAATATACAGAAAGTAAGTATTTCTTAACTACCGAGTAGAAGTAATAAATGTGTGAAAATCTTTTGAACTGCCTTAATTATTTTTTCCACAGTATCTGCTTCATCATAGATCTATCAGTTTCTGTGTTCCTTAGCTCTGAGTAGTAAAATCTACAATGACCTACCTACCCACAGAAATTTTTACCATAAGCACATACCACATGCCTAAAAAAGAGAATGAGATACAGTTATTCACTACCGCCCCTTTTGAAAACAAAACTTCCCTTGTCTAATTCCCCCTATTTTGTACAACCCTCCCTTCTTTCTTTTGGCATAACTGGTATTTGGAAGAAAGAAGTGAGAGGAAGTAGTAGTCTCTCCTAGTGTTACAGATGTCTTTAAGTGAGATAGGCTAATCCCTTACCAGGGTAGACAGGGGTGGTCATAGTAAGATTTTGTCTCTTTCAGAAAGTGGTTGGGTAACCTTGAGCAACTTCTTTCTGGCTCCTTTGATACTCAGTTTCCTCCTCTGTAAACTAGATGGAATGATACTCTGTCCTGTGCTCAGCAAAGCTTTTACAGGGTTATTCTAACCAGAGGTGGTGGCACACGCCTATAATCCCAGCACTTGAGAGGCTGAAGCAGGAGGACTCTTGTGAGTTTGAGGCCAGCCTGGCCTCACAGTGAATTCAAGGCCAGCCTGAACTGCATAGCAAGACACTGTCTCAAAAAGAAACAAAACAAAACAAAACAAAACAAAACACTTATTCTAGGTCAGAGTGCTTTGTGTAGAACATAACAATATAAGAACACTTTCTTTCCACCATCCCATCCCTCTTCTCCTTCCCTGAGAATACTGTCCACAGGGTTAAAACTATGCCTCCCCCAACGTTTTAATCTGTGCACACCCAGGTATACTCAGAATCCTGTGAAGGAGACCACTACTGGCTCCTGGCTCATTCTGTCTCTGAGCAAAATGCTTAAACTCTAAATTAAAAGCTTCAGGGCCACTCACTTGGGATCCCTCCTGTCTCTTAGGAGCTATTCTTACATCCCATTACTATTCCCCAGTAAATTTTCTTACTCTTAAAGAAAGCTTCAGCCAGTCAGTTGGCACATGCCTATAATCCCAGCACTCAGGAGGCTGAGGCATGAGGATTACCATGAGTTCGAGGCCAGCCTGGGCTGCATAGTGAGTTCAAGCTCAGCCTAAACTGCATAGCAAGACCCTATTGCAAAAAACAAAAACAACAAAAAAAGCAAGCTTCAGTGGCTTGCCACGAAAGTCTTGCATTTCATGTCATTATGTAGATTCACTTAGAATGGTTTTAGTCCATATCCTGAGGAATTGATGAAAAAGTGAAAATTACTAAGATTAATATTGTCAGAGATTCCTGTGTAAATGTATACAAGTCATCCTATTTTAGAAAATGATGGTATATTTCAGAAATTTCTGAAGGTGACAACAGAATACTTAGGCTAATGCCATCTTCCCCTTTTGGGAATAATAGTATTGTCAAAGGAAGAACACTTGAAGAATTTTCTTAAAATCCTTGGTCCTCATCTGTTGTGAAGCATTATATGTTTCATTATCATGGCAGGCCCGTAGCTTTTCACATTATGGACCAAAGTTGACCACATTTTCATTTCTAACTCCAGATGTCCAGGAGTGTCCATGTCAGGCCAAGATGGTACCGGAATGAATTCTAGCCCTAGAACAGATCAATAAATTGTTACCTCGCCAAGAATTTATATAGAGAGTAGGTGTTTGGTAAATATTGAATTGAAAAAATACTGGGTAACAGTTGTACTTACCCAAACACTACCTGTTCTTTTTCAGCATGTTGTAACTTTTTCTTCATGAGAACAATGAAAAGTCTCATATTCATTGGCTAAAGTAAATCTTAGCATTGTGCCAGGCGTGGTGGCACACTGCCATAATCCTAGCACTTGGGAGGTCAAGGTAGGAGGATTGCTGCAAGTTTGAGGCCAACCTGGGTACATAGTGAGTTCAAGACCAGCCTTAACTACATATATCCTGCCTCAAAAACCTGAAAATATTTTTTTTAGCATTGCTTCAATTTTTGTAGAAAAACTCATGAGATAGGAAGAAAATGAAAAGAAAGAAAAAAACCTCACGAAGTAGCCAGGATTTAGCTCGGTGGCACAGCACCTGCCTGGCAAGCGTGAGGTGGTCAGTTCGATTCCTGATACCAAAAAAAACCTCATGAAGTAGAAAATGCAAATTAGCCAGGATCAAATTCCATCACAGTGTTACTAAACCTTGAAATTGAATTTGCTATAAAAATAGCCCATTTTCATCACAGAAAATTTAGGTAAAACAAGGACAATTATGTGTCTATTTGTAAAAGTAAAATTAATATAAACATCTATTTTTTATTTTTGCAAGCATATAAAGTATACATTTACAGGTAAATGATATCTATATTTACTGATTTATGATCATACTAATTGTGACATTTTTGTGTGCTATTTTTACTTATACTGTAAACACTTTAAATATCAGCTATATTTAGAAGATATTTTTTATTTTTAGAAGGTATATATGTAATCATGGTAGATAATGTAATTCACTACTCCCTTATTTTTTATATTTGGTATTTTTGAAATGTTTCATTAAACATTTTAATTTAAAAACATACCAAGTTCATTTAATATTCATTTCTTCATTTGAATTTGCAGAACTGGGTTTATAGGCCCAAAAGGTCAACGACGTTTCCTCATTCTCAGAGGAGTCCTTGGTTCTTCTGCCATGATCCTTATATACTATGCTTTCCAGACAACGTCCCTCGCAGATGCCACAGTTATCTCCTTTAGCTGCCCAGTGTTTACGTCTCTGTTTGCTTGGATATTTCTCAAGGAAAAGTATAGCCTTTGGGATGCTTTGTTCACCTTGTTCACAATCACTGGAGTGATCCTTATCGTGAGACCACCATTTTTGTTTGGTTCCAACACTTCGGGGATGGAAGGAAGCTATTCAGTCCATCTTCAGGGAACATTTGCAGCTATTGGACATGCCGTGTTTGCTGCATTGACTCTAGTTATCCTAAGAAAAATGGGAAAATCTGTGGACTACTTTCTGAGCATTTGGTACTATGTCATACTTGGCCTCACTGAAAGCGTCATCGTCCTCTTTATACTAGGAGAATGGAGTCTGCCTTACTGTGGGCTGGACAGGCTGTTTCTCATACTCATTGGGCTGTTAGGTTTGGGGGGTCAGATATTCATCACAAAAGCAGTTCAGATAGAAAAAGCAGGACCTGTGGCAATGATGAAAACAATGGATGTAGTCTTCGCTTTTGTCTTTCAGATTATTTTCTTTAATGATATTCCAACCTGGTGGACAGTGGGTGGTGCTCTTTGTGTAGTAGCCAGTAGTACTGGAGCAGTTATTCGCAAATGGCTCCAGAGTTCCGAATGAAACATCATTGCTGAAATCTAGGTTTTTTTAAACATCATCAGCCATTTGAGACGTACCACACACATAGACACACACCCGGAAAATCTGCATTTATTCCTTGATTATATTTAATAAATTTTATAAACTACCATTTTTGAATATGGTATGTTTTCAATTAAGAATAGCTAGTGTGTTTGGTGTATAAAGTTTTTTGTTAGCTTTTGATTTTGTTTGGTTTTCTTGTTAGGGTGGTACTGATGAGAGGAGAAAGCTTATTATTTGAAGAAAAACTGCAAAAATTTGATGACTAATATATATTTTTTAAATATATTTTTGGTACAGGTGGGAGATGGGTTGGGGAAATTTTAGACATTCTTTTAGTGGTAAGGAGCCTAAGAAACAATGCTGCTATAATTATTATGTTAATTTATTTGCAACATAATTCCTTCTAGGACACCAAAGCTGAAATTTGGTATAGGTGCCTACTTACTGGTATTAATACAAATGAATTGCCTTATTTTCAAGGGTTTTATAAATGATTGTTACACTTTTAACTCATACCTGTGCCTTTTCATTTTAATGCTGGGACTTTTATATGTGACTCCTAACAAGTCTTTAAATTGCCAAATTTGGTGAACAGTTTTGTTTCAGTGGCATTAGCAACTAGCTATCATTTTATAATTTTAATTGTCCTCTGTTTTATTGAAAGTACACTAATTTATGTAAGATTTCAAGATTTCCAATCTTTAAGTCACAAGACAGAAATCTTAGCATAACCAGTGTGCACATTTCCATCTTGAAGTGTTTGCTCCTCACTCTAGATGTGATTTTCTATAAATTCTCTTTGATTTATTGTATGATGCCAAATAAAATTTTCTCAGGATCTTACTAGGTTGAACAGTAAGAAATTGCAAAGATTTGACCATTTTAAGTGATAAAACCCATAGTTTCACAAAGGTCACCCTGATATCTTTGTTGCTAAATCCAACACTCAGGATTTTGGACTATATATTTTTTAAATAATTTTTTGAAGTACAATTCTATTTTGCTTCCTATTATAGTCTTTTTTTCCCCTGTGGAATTATATGTAAAAATGCTTACGTTAAACATTAAAGATACGTGAATATACAGTTGATTGACTTTATAGTTTGTTACATAGGAACAAACACTGGTAAATTGTAGAACATCATCATGATGGGAAGTCATGCAGCACCGTAGTCGTAAAGTCACAAACTCATGCTTCTTTATCTGGAGCATCATCCAGCCAGTACCCTGCAGTTACACTGAATTTAACATTGAGGAAAGCATGGAAGGTTAGTCAGGATATAGGAAGTATATGCACATTATACTTTGCCACAGTGAACTACTGATGATTAGGCCTTTATGTCTCCAGCTGAATTAGACAATAACTGTCATCTTATGGTGCAAAGCTGAAAAGCTTTAGGCTGTTTCCCACCTTCTCAACGTTCTTCAAAGTAAGGAGCTTTCTTCTAGGATAAGTGCCTTGGTGAGAAAGGATCTTTTCCAGTAGTTCTGGGCCGGGGATATAGCTCAGTGGCACAGTGCCTGCCTGGCAAGTGTGAGGTCGTGAGTTCAATTCCCCATACCAAAAAAAGAAAAAAAGATGCAGTAGATTATTTTTTATTTAATTTTTTTTATTTTAAAGAGAAAAAAATTTCAAAACAAGATAATAGGATAACAATGGTTAATACATTGCTTGTATTGTTATTTTTACTCAGAGTCTAAGATACAGACATTTAATTGTCCAAACAGTGTTAGCACAAACCCCAAGGGGAGACTGTAGGCATGCTGATTTTAACTAATGCTTTCAATTTGAAATAGCCTAAATTCAGTCTATTTAGATGAGTCATCTCAATCACATCTTTGACCTAACAATACTGGAATTTATAGATTTGGGAAAGCATTATTTGGCAAATATATAAATTATAGAATCAACCTTTTTTTTTTAAGAATCAGCATTTTAGAGCTCAGAGGTGTCTTAGAAATCTTTTAGGGGCCATGCCCCATAGATAAAGGTGACAGGGAGGAAACCAGGGTGGGTTTCCAGGGCCTTCTCCTTCCTTAGTTCCCTCATAAAATACGGAAAGTGGGCCATCTGGAGCTACCTGAGGTGGATCCACTCTCCAGTTTTCTATCTTAATAAAAGAATCTCGGACCTTGAAAGTTAAATTCCTTTGGCCCTATGTACTAGAGACATGTTTTATTTCAACACTGTGGTTTAAATATTTGAATATCACAATATATGACTAAAGTTAGAGAAAATATTTCTTCCAACTTTTACACGGAATGATTCTGAAACAATGTCCAAGGTATATACAAGGTTTTATATTGTAATGATTATGAGTGTATATTTTGTAAAGGTTGTAGTTGCTATATCTTCCAAAGGAAATATTTTCATAACTTGTTTTTATAAGTAGTAATAAAATTATACGAAAGAAAGCTATATGTTGGTTTTTATGACTAGAAAATACCTATTATAACTCTCCTTTTGAACCAGGTGCTTTAAAATTCATTTTCTGTAGGAGATTGACCTCTAGCTATTTAGCTGGGATGTGATCTCAAATTTCAAACTTTTTTCATACATTGTCATATCTAATCTAACATCTCCAAAATAAAGACACTAATCTGTTCAATGAGGCCTCATTCTATACCAGAAAACCTTGAGCAGCTTTGAATTCTATTTTTCGTTTATAGTCTGCTACTAAATACCTCAGTGTCCTGGAAAGTCATTCTTTCCTCACTACTTCCATGGTTGCCGTCTTATCACCTTATACCTGGTTTATTACAGCAGAACTGTCATTGAGTTACATACTTCTAGACTCTGATCTATCAATGCCAGAGTAATCTCAGAGCCACATGAGACCACGGTGATGCCTTACCGTACACATGACATCCACATTATTTATCTGGCCGTACTTGCACTTCTCCATGTCCCAGCATAAATGTGGTACTTGAACCAGTCATCCCACCAACTCCCACACTTGCCAGTAAAGTCATTCCTCTGTATTTCCTCTGCTTTTCTCACGTCTTACCTTGTGATGTTTCCAACGGCCCAGCTGGAGCTTTTGCTTTTTCTACTGTTTCCAGCTTCTCACCCACATAATCTGCCTTGGAGGAGTGAACAAAGCACTGGATTAGGAGTTGGAAGAGCTAAATATGGTTTTGTCACTTTCCAGCTAGGTATTGAATGTACCTGCACCTCTTTTCCTCACTTAAGTAAATATTTCTCAGCCAATCCATCTTACAAGTGAGTACCCTAGACTTATAGACCAAACAGAAAGATAAAAATGTCAAATACTGAAATGTGGTTAGCACTGTAGAGTTAACTATGTGCTCCTCTTAAAAATGTTGCCTACCAACATGGTCCTAGCTCCTGAGCAGTCTCACCAGGACCTGTAGGGGACCTGTCTGAGGATGCAGACTTCGCCCAACCCCTTCCTGCCTGCACAGAATCTGTTACTGGGAGCTGTCATTTCCTGGCTGATCTGCCTTTGCAGATATCTTTATTTTACTCACAGATGTTACCATCTCTCTATTCCACTGTAGGTACTATGCTTGGGCCTGATTCTGTGTTTCTCATGCACTATTTAAGCATTCTGTACTCAGCATAACTCTTCTAACCTTTTCTCTGTTTACCCACTAAACATAATTAGCCTGTTGATAATCTAGAGGTAAGATGCCAAATTTCCTTGATAGTAGCCTGGCCTCTGACCTAGATCTTTATGGCTGTGTGATCAATAGTGAGCATTGGAATCTAGTTATTATGGTGTTCTTTGGATATGGAAAGCCTGGTTACCATCCTAAGTGTTCTTTTCTGTAGTTGTACCTTACATCAAACCCAACACAGCAACTATGTTAACCTAGAATTTTCCAAGATGTCTTATCAGGGATTCCCTGTGGTACACAAAGAGCCATCCAAGTTTTAGCCTATTTGAATCCTAAGTTTGGAGGTGGTCTTGAAAACTTCACAGAGAATCCCAGAACTTTGGCACTACCCATAACTTCCTGGAAATTGAGGGATATAGGGGGCTGGGGCTTTCTAGTGGGAGGGTAAAGAGAAGACATACTATCAAAGCAGAGCAGAAATGGTAATCCTACAGCAGCCCAGTCCACAGAATGGGGTCCCCTGGGTTCAGGAAATAACACTAGGGAAAAGAGCTTGGGTCTTGCCTACCAAATTTTTATAACTTTGGTAACCATCAAGATTAGTCTGGGGCTGGGGATTTAGCTCAGCGGCAAAAGCACCTGCCTGGCAAGCGCAAGGTCGTGAGTTCGGTTCCCGGTACCGGAGAAAAACCAAAAAAAAAAAAAAAAAGATTAATCCCAGCAAGCCCAATCATTACGCAAAAGAAGTAGCCCATATTCCTGGTGAGTTGCCAGAATGGGGTCAAGAAAGCATAAATCCACATTTGAGCAGAGGTAGACATAGGCAGAAGAAAGTGTTCAGGTGAACCCCACAGCATCAAGGTGTCAGGCCAAGATCAAGAACACTATGGTGCAGAAGCTAGAGAATGAAAGACCAAAGCCAGAGTGTATTGTCACCCAGCGTTGAGGTTTGTACCTGAAGATATAAATACCTGGCTTTTCTAACAGTTGTTGTAAATATACTTGACCATGATTTTAAGGTTAAGCTCTATGTGCTTAAAAAATTAGCAGAGAAATGAAAACTAATGATACAACTATATTTGGGATATTCTTTAATTATAGCTGGTGTTACCATGTTATTAATTAGAATTACATTCAAATTGGCAATTCAGAATGGAATAACCCTTTCTCTCTTATGCCGCTTCTTCTTGGAACTCAAGCCACATTGCTGTGAGCCTGGGCCACGTGGAGAAGTTCACACAGAGAGGAAGGGAGATGCCCAGCCTGTGGGCCCATCTGCACCCCAGCTGACAACCCGTACCAACTTGCCAGCCAAGAGAGTGTGCATATTCGGGGTGGACCCTCCAACCCTCAGGTGAGCAACCCCAGCTGAAGCTGTGTGAGACAGCCTTCCCACCTCCTGAGCTCTGCTCAAATTTTAGGGGTGGGTGTGTGTGTGTGTGTGTGTGTGTGTGTGTGCGTGTGTGTGTGTGTGTGTGCGTGACAGACACAAATTGTTTTAAGCTATTAAAAATATGAAAACATTCTTAAATATTATACATCCAGTTACACATGATCACAATTGTATAAAGCAATGCATTTCAACATAAGACAGTCAATAAAAGTAGCACTATGTCATAGGCCTCTCAGCCTGTGATAGATAAAGCTGGCAAAAATTATATAGGGGATAAAATGATAAAGTTGGTTTAAATAAACTGTATAGCCAGTTTTTGGCTGCTGGGACACTACCCAACATCCATAACTTAAAGATGTTTAGCTCATGATGTGGGGCAATTCAGTCCATAATGAGCTGACTCTAGGCAGGAACATAAGATAGAAGGCCACCATGGAGCAAAGGGGGTTAGTTCATGGTGGCTGGGAAGCAAGGCAGAGGAACAAGGCTAGAGAGGAAGGTGGAAAGGACCATGTGTACTTTCCAAGGTCATGCCTCCATGACCTACTCAGACATACTTGGAGCATGCTTTACCAGTGTGCTTGGCATTTCTTAATTCAATGAAGTTGATATGTCAGGATTAATGGTCACACTAACTATTCTCAGAATATGGCCTGGGACCTCTGGGAGTCCTTAAGACCCTTTCAGGGATTTACAGTGTCAAAACTATTTTAATAATATGACTAAAAATGTTATTAGTCTGTTTCATGCACATTCTGTCATGAGTATACAGTAGAGTCTTTCAGAGGCTGTAAGACGTGATATTGCAACAGATTAAATGCAGAACAGATAGAGGAATCCAGCTGTCATCTACTGAGTCAGATTGTGCCATATATATATAAACATATATGGCAACATATATTTATAACAGTGATACTCTTCTCACTAATTATTTTAGAAAATAGTTATTTTTCATAAAACTGTTATTTGTTAACATGTAATAGAATTATTTTTTAAATTTGTTTTGTTTTCAAGTATGTTAACTATCTATATATGTAACCCATACACACAGAATCTTTCTGTAGTCTTTGATAATGTTTAAAAGGGTAAAAAGATCCAAGAATAAGCATT